CGCATGCCAAGAAAAATTGACCCAGAACAGTCAACACTGAGATTTATTCTAGCAACATTAGTAGACTTCAAAGGAAAAGCAAGATCATGTCACACCTTTAGGATGGCTATTATCAAAAAGACAAGAGATAACAAGTGCTGGTGAGAGTGTAGAGAAAAGGGAACCCTGGTGCACTGTTGGGGGGAATGTAAATTGGTGCAGCCACTATGGAAAACAGTATGGAGGTTCCTTGAAAAATTAAAAATAGAACTACCATATGATCCAGCAATCCTATTTCTGGGTACATATCTGAAGGAAATGAAGTCAGTATCCTGAAGAGATATCTGCACTCCCATGTTCATTGGAGTATTATTCACAATAGCCAAGATATGGAGACAACCTAAGTGTCCTTTGATGGATGAATGGATACAAAAATGCATCTATATACAATGCAATATTATTCAGTCATAAAAAAGAAGGAAATCTTGCCATTTGTGACAACATGGATGAACCTGGAGGGCATTGTGCTAAGTGAAATAAGCCAGAGAGAGAAAGACAAACACCGTATGGTATCGTTTATATGTAGAATCTAAAAAACAAAGTCAAACTCATAGAAATAGAGAGTAAAAAGGTGGTTGCCAGGGCCTGGGAGGTGGGGAAATGGGGAGATGTTGGTCAGTACAAACTTTCAGTTATAAGGTGAATAAGTTCTGAGGATCTAATAATGTACAGCATAGTGACTATAATTGATAATATTGTCTTGTATACTTGACATTTGTAAAGAGTAGCTCTTAAGCATTCTCAATGTGTGCAAACAAGGTAACTATGTGAGGTGATGGCTGTGTTAATTAACTTGACTGTGGTAATCATTTCACAACGTACACATATATCAAGTCATCACACTGAATACTTTAAATGTATATAATTTTATTTGTCAATTATGCCTCCAATAAAGCTGGAAAAAAATGGGGGGGGGGGGGAAGGAAGAAAAGAAAGAATCCTTAAGGCAGCAAGGCAGGGTAAGAGGCCAGTTTAATCTTCGATGCGTGCACAGCATCACTCAGTGCTGGAGAACAGTGGAGCAGGACCCACGGCTATTGTGAGAAAGAAGCGGTGACACAGTGTTTCAAGCCGAGCCAAACTTTCCTGCAGGCATGAATGCTATAGAAACATAGTTTTCAACATGCAAGAACTCAAAGAATATTGCTCCCATGAGCACTTCTTGAGAAAATTATGGCGTTTTAACTTCAGTCAAGCAAAAAATAATGGAAAGCTAGGGTAAAGAGGTTAGGAGTATGCAATGAATATATTTAACTGAAGAACTAAGACCTGAGCAAATGTGAATGTTGTAGTAATGGAATAGATTGTATGAGTTTTATATTCTAACAATGTAGAAAGGGCCCAAATATAAAAATTTGGAAGGGGAATGAGGGACAAGGTGGGAGAAAGAGTAAACATGCTCTTCATGAATACTAGCTGGGGACCAAAGGATATCATTTACAGCTGACAGACACAGTAGAAATGTAAGCATATGTAAGTGCACAAAGGCAAACATAAAAATGATAATGCTAGTGATTAGAATGGAATGGCAGAGGAAGCGGAGGATGGGGAGGAGGACATGGGCGAATGTTCTGGCTGCTCTTCATAGGGAGTAGGAGCTACTATTGAAAGAACGAGGCAGCGAAGGGCACATGATCATAAAGACAATCATAAGGACCCATCAAAATTTCCTAAGTATTGCAAGAAATATACACCACAAAACAAAGTGAAGGTAACGGAAAACAGAGTGCAAGATTTCAAAATTATAAATACAGAAAATATACCATAGAATATTATGACAGAATAAAGACTAAACGAGGATGGCAAATGGGCTAAACCCACCTCGTGAAAGAAGAACACAGCTGTTTGGGTGGAAGTGTGAGTGTGTGTATGCATGTGTGTGTCTGTGTGTGTAAGTGTGTGGGCATTTGTGTGTTATGTGTACATACATGTGTATGCATGCTTATATGTGTATGTGTACATAATTGTGTGTGTATCTATGTGTTTCAGTGTGTATATGTGTGTGCATGTGTACATATGTATGTGTTATATATGCATGCATGGACCTGAGTGTATGTGTATGTATTTGTGTATGTGTTTCAGTGTGTGTGTGTGTGTGTGAGAGAGAGAGAGAGAGGCTAACCCTCTGCCCTGTGGTAGACCACAAAGGAACGCCCTGGGCAGGTTTGAAAACCATGTTCTAGCACACCTCCAGTAAGCAGGAGAGACATTCCAGATAAAGTCCAGATTTGAGGAGTCCAGGTTGTCTAGGGGATCCCACAATTTATGAGGAAAATATTCTCCAGGCTTTGTCGCCTTGCCCTGTGGCCCCAGAAGCCTCAGCTGGAGTAGGGGTAAATTCAAAAGCTGCCCTCATCTGATCTTCCCACTGCTTATTCAGCTCACTGGTCCCCACCTCGTCCCACCCAGAGCAGGGTGTCCAGGCTAGGGGCTGCATGGCCCTGGGACACAGATCCACCTGCTGGCTCACAGCAGCACAGGCATCTTGGAGTCAGGCGAGAATCAGCTGGGAAGCAGATGGCAATCTTCCCCAATGCTTCCTCCTTCAGGGGCCGGGGGACTGTCATCTTAAGTGGTGCCTCCAGCCATGGCTGCAGGTATTAGAATCAGGTGGACAGAAGGTGTTTCTTAGCCTTGGAGTTCATGTTGCCCTGGTGTTGACGCATCCTACTGGGTTTTGGGGGTGTCAGCCCACAGCTGTGAGGGAACCTTGGTTATTGCGGTCCCACTGCTCAGGGCTAGGAGGGTGATTGGGCCTCCTGGGGGTGACAGGACAGCAGCAGAAAAGCTCACTCATTTCAGCCCCTCTTCTCCAAGAGCCTCCCTCAAGGGCTCAAATTGTCTTATGGGGTGGCGGTGGTCATGGTGTGGGGTTCCTCTTGTCCAGCTTGGCTTTGCTGTGGATGCTCATCATGAGCATTTGGGGCAGGGGAGGCCCAGAAGAGCCCACTGATGGCTCAGTCCACCTCCAACTGTCCACCAAGAGCTGGAATCACTGGATATTGGGGCAAATCAGGAGGCATTGAAGGTCATTTCATCCAACGCCTTGTAGATGAGGATGCTGGTCCCAAGAGTGAGGTCACCCAGAGACTGCTGCCTGCAGACTCCCCGGCCAGTGCTCTTTCCACCACCATGCACCAGCACAAAGAGGGCTCAAGGGACTTGAGTGAGCCAGGCCCGGAGGCGCTAAGAGGGAGAGGATGGACAGGGGGGCCAGGACGGAGGAGGAGCCAGTGTGGAGGGACTGGAGGCAGGAGGGAGCATGGGAAGTTTTTAGGGCTGTGCTGTAACTGGGTTTTCCCACTTCCTTTTGATTCTCATATGATGCTCACTGTGCTGAGAAGAGAAATGTGTTTGGTTCCTGCAGAAACTGCCACTGGCCCAGAAAGAGGCTGAAGGCACAGACCAATGAGAGGATGCGTGAGGGGTCCGTTCCTCCAGGCCACATGGTTGGAGGGAGGGGAGGGCCGATGGGGACTGAAGGAGGGAGGAGAGGCTGTTCATCACCGAGGGAAGGGAACCCAACGGTTGTCTTAATTGGGCCTGTTGGTCTCTCGCACAGGATCAGCCTTGGTCCGCAGCTCCAGCGCAGAGCTTCTCCACAGGGAGAGTGGGTTCTGCACGGAGACTGCAGAGTCTCACAGGCTCCGGGCAGGAGCTGCAGCTGTCCCTGGACCAGGCTCAGAACCAGAACCAGGAGCTTTAGGAAGCTGGGCAAAGCGCTCCCTCCTGTTTGGGTTTCTGGTTTGTCTGCTGCTGTTTCTTCTCTCTCCATGTAAAATGGCCTTCAGTAGAATATGGCCACTGTTGTAATCTTTAGCGGGGCAGCCATGCACCCCTGCTGTCTAGGTCATGGGCAGAAAAGCGAACCTTGCTGACTTGCTACAAGCCTATGTTCCCAGGGAGGGTGGGGGCTGAGGAGCCATTTGGCCCAGTGTGGGTCAGGGTCCAGGATGGCCCTGTCAGCTCTGGTCAGGGGTCAGGGATCAGGGTGCCTGGACGGATGTGGCTCCTGAGGTGTTGTGGGGGATGGAGATGGCTCTTCAGTCTCACAGTTTCAGGGACTCCAACATACAGTGGCTCAAACATCTCTTGGCAACTCTGCTCCCATGTCGTCATACAGGCTCCCAAGCTCCTTCTTCTTGTGGCTCCATGGTGCCCGAGCATCAGAATTACCCGGAAAAGGTGTTAAAACACAGGTCGCTGGGCCCCTGTTTCTGATTCAGTACTGGGGTGGTGCCTGAGAATTTTCCTTTCTGCTGAGTTCCGAGGTGATGCTGATGCTGATGCTGCTGGTCTAGGAACCATGTGTTGAAAAATGACTGCCCTGGGGTGTGTGCTTAACGACATGTGCAGAGCTGGTGCTGCCACATTCCTGTCCCAAGAGAGAAAGGCCAGGGTAGCCAACTTCCTTTTGAGCAAGCGGGGCACGCAAAAGTGGCTCACTTGTACCATGGGCAAGACATGCGGCCACACCTGGCTGCAAGGGAGGCTGGGCAAAGTCATCTGTAGCTGGGCAGCTGTGGGCCCTGGAAAAGGGAAGGGCATGTTTGTGGGAGACAATGAGAGGTCTGCCAGAGTGGGCCTTGGGAATCACATGGACATGAAAAGAAAGGGCCAGCACTAGTGGTGGGGGACAGATGTGGAAAGAGACTCCTGTTGTGCTTGGTGATCACTGTCGTAACGGCGGTTTGTTCCGGGGGAGAAGCCCAAGCCCACCTGCAGGCATCAGCCAAGGCTGCCCCAGAGGGCGGAGCAAGCCAAGCTTTGTAGCGGGAGACGGTTGGCTGCGCTTGCGCATTCCTCTCTTGAAGGCAGCTGGGTGTTGCTCCACCTGGGCTGTGTTCTCTTCCCTCTTCAGCCATCAGATATGGCCCTTTGTTCACCGTCCCTAGTGTTTTGTGGGTTGAGACTGATGTTTTCCCAGGTCTCAAATTTTCTTTTTCTATCCCGTCCCCCAGGCGTCTTGGCTCTGGAGAAAGCTGCGTGGCAAGAGGCGGCTGGTGATGGCGTTCTGCCTCTTGATGACTCTATCTGTGGTGGCTGTTACCCGCTTCCCCCCACAGCATCCAGCTGCTGGCCTGGACCCTGGTCCCGTGGAGCCCCGCGGAGAAACCGGCACCCCTGCCCCCCACAGCCGGCAGGCTCTGAGCTCCAGCCGGAGGCAGCGGGCAAGAAACCTGGGGTTCTGGAGAGGCTGGGCCTTGCCCAGGACTTCTGTCCTGGTGTGTGCTGAGGAGCAAGGCCACAGAGGGAGAGTGGACAAAAGCAGGCAGTCCCTGGGAGGGGACAGCGGGCATCCAGGGAGGGTCAGGAGAGACATTACTTTGGCATCTCTGGGAGATTTGAGACTCAGTACCCGGCGTCTCGTGCTCCTGAGGGAAGATGAGGTCAGAGGTCCAGGAGCCAAAGACCTCGGCACAGCCTGGCACAACGGTCCCATCCAGAAGGCACAGGATGAGACAGGCACCCTGGATGCCCTCCTCACAGGGCGTGACACGGCAGCTGTAAGGACTCTGAGAACTACTGCTGGACTGACCCCCCCACCCCATCCAGTGGAAGGCAGGGATCTGCCAGAAGCTGGCAATAGAGGCTTGACTGGTGGGCAACAAGTACAGGATCCTGCCCCAGCTGCAGGGGCTCGTCAGTGGCCTGGCTCTGTTGGGGAGCTGCAAGGATCTGTCTGGTGTGATGCTGAGACCCCTGGGCTGTTGAGCGACTCAAGGACCGGAGGGCAGGTTCCCCCATGGCTCACAGAGCATGATGTGCAGACCCTCCGGCTGTTGGCCCAGGGGGAGGTGGTGGGCAAAGCCAGGGTCCCCGGCCATGGGCAGGTCCTGCAGGTCGGCTTCTCCACTGAGGGCGCCCTACAGGACATGTCTCCTGGGCTCAGCCGACTCTGCTCCCAGGGGCTCTGTGGCCTGATCAAGAGGCCAGGGGACCTGCCCGAGGTCCTGTCCTTCCACGTGGACCGAGTGCTGGGGCTGCACCGGAGCCTGCCTGCTGTGGCCCGGAGCTTCCACAGCCCCCTGCTGCCCTACCGCTACACGGACGGTGGCACGAGGCCAGTCATCTGGTGGGCGCCCGATGTGCAGCACCTGGGTGACCCAGAGGATGACCAGAACTCTCTGGCCTTGGGCTGGCTGCAGTACCAGGCCTTGCTGGCACGTGGCTGCAGCCAGCCGGGCCAGGCCCCATGCCCGGGCATCCACCGCGCTGAGTGGGCTCGCCTGGCGCTCTTCGACTTCCTGCTGCAGGTAGGTGGGGCTGGCCGGGTGGGGCGAGAGCATCGGAGGTGGGGCTTCGGGGGCATCGGAGCACTGGAATTGCCCACCTGAGGATGGATGGTGACTCTCCCCACAGTCTTTGTCTTTTGACCACCAAGTGACAGTTTTTGTTATTTTTCTCCCTCTGTGTTTATTCCCATGGTGTGCTAGAACCATCTCGTCTGGGCTCACAAGAGCTGATTGCTAACATTTTCAGGAATTTTGTGACACGACTGTGAAACGCAGGCATTATTGAAAATTAAATTATACAAACTAACATATAATACATTAAATACTCAGAACAACGTAGCTGTTCCAGGGACTGTGAGCTGGATGTCAGCCATGGAGACATGTGTGGAAACATGGCCAGAAACACCAAAAAAGGAATAAAGCTCAGAAGGTGTACCTGATGCACACTGAGCCAGCCCCTACTTACCGTGGTCCTTCCAGCTCCTCCAGTCTACAGCTCCAGGGCTGCCTTGTGCAAAGGGGAGCCTGGAGTCTGGTGATCAGCATGGGCTTTGACATCACACAGACCTGGTTTGAACCCCCCTGCCCCCAGGCCACTTCCCACTCTGTGACACTGAGCAGGTTACTTCGCTTCTCTGTGCTTCACTTTTCTCACAGCTAAAATGGGACTGGGTATCCTGACCTCATGCCCCTGGGCCTGACCATTTTAGCTTGTAGCAGCTCCCCGTTGCCAGCACCTGCGTCTGCAGGCTTGCTCTCGGCAGAGCCTGCTCTGCCCTGTGTGTGACAGGCTGGGTGCTGGGGAATGAACGCCCTCCAGATAGTGTGACCAGCCATCCAGGATGGGACGGAGGGGTCTTCCAGACCACAGGACTTGCAGTCCTGGGCCAACCGGGGAGGCTGGTCATGCTGCCTCCAGGAGCAGCCTCCAGTAACTGACGGCGCTGGTGGTTCAGAGCCCTGGCTCCCTGGCTGGGGTGGCTCTGCAGCGCATATTCTGTGTGTCTCTCAGAGTTCCCCACTGGGACTGAGGCCCCGCTACCCACAGTGGCCACTGCTGGCCTTCCCTGTCTCAATTCCCTGCTCCCGGCTTGTGCTTTTTTGGCTAGCTCACAAACTGCTTTCATATGAATCCTTGTCTCGAGGTCTGTCTCTGGGGCAGCCTTGCTTATCAGATGATACCACCGACCTTGTGTGGTTTCTGCACACGAGGTCATTCGTGTAATGCACTTAATGCAGTGCCTGGCGGGTGGCACTTGTTCAGTAATAAGCAGGCACTGTCCCCAACACATTACAGGAATTAGCTCATCCAATCCTCAGAGCGACCTTACAAGCGAGATACTACATTTATCCCTATTAGAAAGTTGAGAAATTGAGGCCCAGAGAGGTTAGGTTACCTGCCCAAGGTCATGGCTGGTGGAACCGAGACGCAGCCTGTGACTCCAGAGTGCACCTTCTTAATCACAGAGTTGCTATTCAGCTGACCACGAGGGAGGGCAGGAAAGGGGGATGCTTGCAGGGCTGCCCTGCCCCTCCTGGCAAAGTCCCGATCCAGCTGGTGTGCGTGCAGCAGCTTTCTGCTCCACACAGAGCCCCTCTGTCCATCTCCCGGGGCCGCCCTGTGGGACCCTCCCTCCGCTGCCAAGCCCTCTGTGGGGACGGAAGTCTCAGCAGCCAGAGCCCACACAGGCTGGGTGTGTGGTCAGAGGTGACTCAGCTGGCCTCGTGCCACCTCTTCCCTGGTTTGCTGAACACCAGTCAAGTCAAACACCCCTGTCTGGCTGACGCCGCCTTCCTAGAAACCATTGGCAAGTCAGGGAGAGGCGGGGCTGTAGGTCTCCCACAGGAACCCGAGGTGCCTTCTGACCGGGGGATGGGTACAAACTCCACATGCAGCCCACTCTGCGGTATGCTTGCTCGTTTTTGGTTTTATCCAATATAAATGCTTTTTTTGGTGTGTTTGTGTATCACAACATACCATTTACCCAGATGCAAAATACACACGCAGTGCACACAGACACAGTCCTTACACCCCCACAAATCATACCCTATGCTTCGCAAATCCCACAGAACGCTCTGTATCAGTCAGTGACTGCTGGAATAATGCTGTGTGACAAACCTCTTCAAAGTCGATGGCTTAAAACACCAGCTCTTTACTTCTTGCTCCAGGGTCTGTAGTCAGCTAGGCTCAACTGAGCTTGGCTCCAGGCTGTGGGCTGGGTTCAGGTCTGCTCCTCACTTCTCATCCTGGAGCCCAGGCTGAAGGGGCAGCACTATCCGGGGCAAACTCTGCTCATGGGGAATGGAAGAAGCCCAAATGCTCAACCAAACCATAAAAGCACATTGAAGTCCTCTGCCGATGTCACTGCTGCTAATACCCCACTGGCCAAAGCAAGTCAATGGCCAAGTCCAACGTCAGGGGAGGAAAGTGCTCTCTGCCCAGAGTAGAAGTGGGAGAGGAGCAAATATCTGCTGGACAATAATCAAGTCAGTTACACACACCCCAAACACACACATTACACACTTATACATGAACCTTATATGCCCACGTGTCATAGCCACACACACTTGCACACCATTCACATGCTCACATACATTCCATATGGTGCCTAGACACTGCTGTGGGCAACTGGGCTCCATCCTGCTGAGACCTTTGGGAGAGTGTGTAGAAAATGTGTCAGAGCTGTCTCACCTGAGGGCCAAGGAGGCTGGGCTGTTTACCCACTAACTCCCAACTGTCATTGGTTGAGGCTGCTCCGGAGAGTGTTGACTTCCTGTCACTTCTAGCCTGGCCCATGTGCTGGCCAGCCACGCATGCTCCTTCAGCCAGAAAGGGGCTATGGCGGAGAGCTGCAGGCACTTGTAGAAAGCCATGGGTGTGTACAGGAATAGTGAGTGTCAAGGGGCAATGGGTGGGATACCAACAGCATCTGCTACTCATAATGAATGATAAGTCAAAAACAAGTTTCACAGGCCAATGTGACCAGCATGGTGCTCTCAATTAATAAGCTGATTTCTCCAAGAAAGATAAAGTACTAATAGTGAGTGGGTGCCCTCACCCCACCCTGGGCTGTGTCATAGGGAGAAGTTAGACCAAGAGAGAGCCCATTACTTCTGAATGGATCAGTGAGAAGCTGGTTCTACTCAGATGGACAAAATGGGTGGGAGAGGGGGTATGTGTGCTTGGGGTGGGGAAGGGGGCTCCCAAACGCTACTCTGCTTAATGTCAGGGGCCACTTGCAACCAGAGCTGTATTCAGTCTGGTAAAAGGTAAAAAGTTCTCCTCTTGGGACAATGACGATGGTACAGCCAAGCCGTGGTGGAGAAGAGCTCATGATCATCGCCTCCGCTGTAGGCCAAATCCAAGCTGAGGGGGGTTAAGCCTGGACCGCAGAGGGCCTTCTACCCAGAGGCCGGGGTATGAGAAGGAAGCGCTGGGGGGTCAGGCACATCTCTCTTTTTTCCTTTAGAGGGGTTTCTGTCTCTTACGTCCTGCTTCCTCGCAGAGGGCGTGACTAGCTGGACTGGGTGGGTGAGCCATGAATTCAGACAGACCGGGAGCTGGTAATGTTCGCTCACAGAAGGCACTCTGCAACTTCGGCTTATGAAGGGCCTTCACATCCCCGAAAGTCAGGACCCCAGAAAGCCTCAGCTGCCACCATTCTGGTCCAGGTCACCATCTTTCTTACCTGGACTAACACAACAGCCCCCTGACTTGTCTCCCTGCCTCCATTTACGCCCATCCAATCCAGTCTCCTTACAGAAGCTGGAGGGGTTGTCTTGCTTTGGGTTCCCAGGGCCAGGAATCCAGTAGGGGCAGTTTATCGGGGAGGGCATCCCGGGAAACACCTGCGGCAAAGTGGGAAGTGAGATGGAGAGCAGACAGCCGATAAAGGGCATGTTATCAAACGGGTCCCTGCTGTGGGTGACTGGGGCTGGAAAATTCTGAGAAAAGGTATAAAATACATGTTCAGAGTTAGCCCACCAAGAGGTGAGGGACGGGAGGGATTCATAGCCCACTCTCCCATCATCTTTGGTTGCGGGCTGCTCCAGGAGGTGATAATTCCCTGGCGTTTGGAGAAAGCCCCCAGGGAAAACCATCCAGCTGCTGGGGAGTTGGAGGGAGAGCTGTGAAGTTCAGACACACTGGTCAGGCACAGAGAGCACACCTCTTTACAATCATAAGTCAGATCGCATCACACTCCCCTTTAAAATGAGGCAATGCCCTCGCAGAGCCCTCAGCCTCAGGTTCTTCAAGGACCCACGTGATGCATCCCTTTCTGCTGTCTCCAGCCCCGTCTCTTGGCACCTGGCCTTGGTCCCTTTCCAAACATGCCCAGCTCCTTCCGGGGCAGCCTCTTTGCTTCTGAGGCCCCCTCCTCAGGCCTCAGCTCTCCTGACTTCCCATCCTCCTCCACTTTAGCCTCTTTCTCTTTCGTGGCACCCTGCCTATGCCCTTTCTCATTCCCAGCACAGTATGTAAATATTTTATTTATCTGTTCACATATTTACCATGTGTCTCTCTGTTTTGTTCACCACCACACCCCCAGCATCGAGCACAGAGCCAAGCTCTTGGTCTGGTCCTAGATAAGCCTCGTTAAATGAAGGGGTGAATGAATGAATGAAAAATGAATGAACTTCCAGGTCTCTGTATTCCATCTAGGTGCTGCTGTGCTCTGCTTCCTCAAACACCACTTCTTCCTCTAGACTGAAAAGAGTCGCAGGGCTTTCTGCGTTTCTTGTAGGGCCCAGTAGCGAATCACAGAGGTAGACAACAACACGACCATTGAGCCCTTGCCTTCTGACAGGTAACTCACTTAAGCGTCCAGAACAGATGACAACGCCTGATGCCATCCCATGTCCTCGACATCGGGCACTGTTCCAGCACTCTGCATATGGGACTGCACAACAGCCGAGGAGGCAGACAGTGTTCCCAGCTCCATTCTACAGATGAGGAAACTGAGGTTTGGAGGGGCTGAGGGACTTGCCCCAGGCACAGCCTTCGGTGTTGGAGCTGGCAC